ACAGTAGTGATTACAAACATACCTTGTCTTCAAAGAGCGTACAATCAAGTGGGAGAATGAAACTTGTACACAAATGACTAGAGACTTTCTCAACTGAGGTCACTCATTTGAATCACAGAAGACTGAAACTGACTTGAGCACTATTTTCCCAATTCTTTCAAGGATAGTACATAATGAATACCATTCTAGATAGGTATGAGGATGTGTTAGGCTATAACAGTAGGAAAAAATGAAAAGGCAAAGTATGGAAGACCTCATATCATGCTCTATTGTATATTTTGCTATTGATCAACTGAGAACTCTCAAATATTTTTAAGCACAGAAGTAACATAATCAGACACATAAAATCCTATTCTGCAGCATTAGTACAAAGAAAGAGAGAAAACCGGAAGACCAGTTATGAGATTACAGAAGTAATCTTAGTCTCAGATGTCATAATGTCCTGAGCTACAACAGGATCAGAAAGGATGAACAGGTGAATGAACAGGACTTTGTAAATGACAGGACCAAGAATAGAAGCGCTAGTCTCCAAGGCTTCCATTCAGGGTGACTGGGAAGACAGTCATACCATGAAATAATGTTATCAACCTAGTAGATACAGGTTATAAAGAAAAAAGAATGACTTCAATTTTTTTTCAAGAAAGGCCTTTCATTATTCCTAGATTTTTTAGAACAAATATTTTTATTGGTTAGTAAGAACTCTAAGTAATGACCATATTTTAAAGAGCATGTATGTCTCTGTATCACTTCATCAGAATAAAATACTCATAAAACCAGAAGAAATTCTAAACAAGTTTATATTATATAGAAGTCTACCATTTAACTACCAGAACCAGCTCAGTAAGAGATATCGATATGTGGATGTCTCGTAGTCCTCTGTATGCCCCACAGAATTGATCTTTTTTTTTTTTTTAAGATTTTATTTATTTATCTTTAGAGGGGAAGGGAAGGAGGGAGGGAGAGAAATACCAAATGTGTGGTTGCCTCTCGTGTGTCCCCTGCTGGGAACTGGCCTGCAACCCAGGCATGTGCCCTGACTGGGAATCGAACCACGTTCCTTTGATTTGCAGGTCTGCACTCAATCCACTGAGCTACACCAGCCAGGGCTTGAGCTTTTTTTCCCTCAAGAAGAATAAACACTGAGATCAGAGTAATGAATGTGCACACTATAAGTAACTTTATCAGCACAGATTCTTGCTCTGCTGAGAATCACTATAAATCTATAAGTATAGTTCTTATTGTAGGACTGACTCATCAACAAGGTATCATCATAAGAAGAAATCACCACAAATATCTAACAATAGACCAGTTAATCCACAAACCAGCCTTTAGCCAAAGTTCTAAGGAAAAGTTTCCCTAAGAAAAGGAACGATAAATTTTACAACATTGTCTGAAAGTGTTTAAAAAATTGAGAGAAAGAATGTTCCAGAAATCCTCAAGAATGTTAAGATATTTTCCTAACTGGTCTTGGAATTAAACTTGGAACAGGGGGATATGAACATGGGGTGAAATAAAGAAGTCACCTTATGATTTCAAACGTAGCTTCTCTCCCCATCTACTTCTATGCCTCAAGAAAGTCTTGAATGACAACTAGACACTAGCACTATCAACTCAGATACACAGGAATCTTCACCTCCAACCCAATCAGAGTTCATAAAACCTATTCTAAAACATACTTAAAAATTTTTAATGGAAAACATAAGTATGATCTTCTATATGTCTATGACTTATTTCTTTTCTTTTTGTCCTATTGGAGATCCATGTGATACCATTATTGCTCATTTTAACAGTCAAATTATTCAACATCCAAAATTAAGAAAATAACTTAGCCTGTAGAATAAATTTGAAATGGCAGGGATGTTTACTGAATTACCTGAAAAATGTGAGGCAACTGCTCTGCAGAAAAAGAGAAGCAGAACAGTGTAAACAGTAAGAGCAAAGCTTTAGCTGTTAGAGTCCTAGGTGTAGATTCCAGTTCTGATACTTGTGAGGTATGCTATGTCTCAATTGCTTTATCTATAAAATGGGGATTATACAATACTATATAAACAGTGAGGTTTATATAGTATTAACAAATACAAACAGATTTGTTTATAACATACATGAACAAATTCCACACCTGGCTGGTCAGCTAAATCCCTGGGAAACTTATTAGAAACACAGTATCCCAGGACCTCGTCTATACTTTCAGTGATGTCGTCCAGGCACTTGGATTTTTTAACAAATTCTAAAGATTGATCCTCATATAGCAGTCACAATGTGGAAATTGTAAGGGGAAATTTATATATATATAATTTATATATATATATATATATATGAATGAAATTATTTATTTATTTTAAATATTTTATTTGTTTATCTTTTAGAGGGGAAGGAAAGGAGAGAGGGAGAGAAATATCAATGTGTGGTTGCCTCCTCATGCACCCCCTTATGGGAACTGGCCTGCAACCGAGGCACGTGCCCTGACTGGGAATCAAACTGAGATCCTTTGGTTTGCAGGCCTGTGCTCAATCCACTGAGCTACACCAACCAGGGTGAATTTATTTATTAAGAGAGAAAACAGTAGACAGAGAAAGAGGGAAGGAAACACTGATGTAAGAGAAACATTAATTGGTCTGCCTCTCATATGCGCCCTGACCAGAGACTAAACTAAACCCAACCAGGGACCAAACGTGCGACCCAGGCATGCGCTCTGACTGAGAATAAAACTGATGACCTTTCACTTTGTGAGACAACACCCAATGGATGGAGCCACACAGGTCAGGGATAGTTCATATATTTTGATATATCTCACTAATTTATAAATTTCTACATACACATAACTTACCAGTATTCTGGTACATTCTAAATGTTCAATAAATGTGTTATAATTTTTCAGTAATTATTTTGAAGTAGATAAAACTAAGTATTTTTTAACAAGGTGGCCCCTAAGTTGTCTTGCAGAACTAGTTTTCATAACCTCTCACCAAAAATGAGACTCAAAGTATGACACTATACTTTTTGAGACATTGTGAAAGCTGACACAAATGATATTTCACACTGATGAAAATGATGCTCATTTTCCACAACATAGTTTACCACAGAACAAAAGCATAACATCAGGCATGTCTTGTATTTTTAATTACAAAACTTGACTATTCCAGGTCATTTCATCAAAGCAACCTTAAAACTCATTCTTTATTTTTTAGTAATTCATACAATTTATCTGAATTCATCACAGGAACAATGCAAGTACTAAATAAAGGTGTATAATAACATTAACCATGGCAACAATATCTAAAAACCATAGAGGTAGTTAGTACTGAAGAGCCCTAATTCTTAGTTATTAATAATAGTTGCATCTTTCCTTTTTTAAAGTCTAAACCCTTGAATTAATTAGCATTTTTAAATGAAGTACCTTCATATATGATATCTAGTCCTTTATAAACATGCCCAACCTTACTTTTATGTCAACATTACAAACAAATCAATGCTATCTGTAAGGTTACATTAGTGTTCTTAGAGTTCTACTAAGAAACAACCAATTTGTTTTTAAATGTAGGTTTCCAGTTTGTTTGTATCATACTACAAATGTAAGGTCATTCATTCAGACACCACTATAGTACTAAATATAAATGCTTTCTCTTCTAAATGTAGACATTTACCATTAAAATAGTTACTACCAACAGAAGATAAAGTAAATCATCCTATGGCCTTTTAGAGTAAACTACACACATTTATTGGACACTAAAGTTTTTTATCTTAAAATACTTTTTAGAGATGATTTTATAACACACATAACTTAGTTACTAATGTTTAAAAGTTAAAATATTTCAGCTGCACAAAATAATGTGTTTACCTAACTGAATCAGGTATTCTACTATCAGGTTTATTTCTCCATATACACATCTTACAAAGATTATGGGGATCAATGATGTAATGCTAACAGATTGCTGCAAATACTGAGAAAGAAGTATGTTATGTAAATAAAAGCTTAAAGGGAAGAAGTTGTTTTGGTCATACAATTTGGTCAAATTATAGAACCATACCATTTTCTTCTATGAAGTTTTAACCATTAATCCTATTGGTACTTGAGAAATAAAGTTAAACAAAGAAATTCAGAGGCCAAAGTAATCTGATCTTAAGAGTGAAAAGAAACACAGTAAAAACTAGTTTAAAAATGTCTCAAGCAAGTATAACCAAAAGTCATCACCTTTCCTCAGCGTGCAGAATATGAACTACTTATATTAAAAGTCCGTGTAAAGCAATGGACCAAAGCCAATGGTCTACATGCCAGAGAATGAGAAAACTTCATGCACTTAATTTGGCCACCCACCACACCTACATTTTCAGGTATATACCAGCTTGGGGAAGTGACAATGAAGGGCATTAAAAAAGTTATTGCTGCAAACAAAGTATACACACGCACACACACACACACACACACACACACACACAAAACCGACAACACATGATAAGAAATGGTCCTCTCCTGCTCCTTTTCCTCAAAACACCATTTTTATGGATATATCTTTCTAAAGCCCTTGTGAAACCTCTTTCCCACACTTTCTTGGTGACCTTACTATGTGGATCCCTCCCCATGGTTAAAAGGATATTTTGGCAAGTAGTCTTGAAAAAGGCTACTCACAAAAATTTACAAATGGAGAAGAGAATGGGAAGGAAAGAAAGGGTGTTTTCCCTTCTCCATCATCAATTATTACTCAAGAAACAAAGCAGGGTATATGTCACATTGTAAAGTATGACAATGATAGTAAAACTCTCCCAAGAAGAATAGGAATGGAATACTTTTCGATCTAATCTATCTCAAAACTAAAGCGAGAAAGCTCAGGTCATAGCAAATCAATATGTCTGCAAAACCAGCTGTAAGTTCCATGACAATAAACATTCAAAAATTAACTGCAAAGTAAAATAAAATTTAACAACCTAGTGGGCTTTACTACAGCAATATTCCTTTAAAATATGCAATTTAAAATAGAACAAAGTACAAGACAGTAACTTACTTGAGTCGGAACAAGTACTGGAGGGTAGGCCATCTTATGATGCCTATATACCCAATATGCACAAATGACAATCCCCGCAATTAACATAAGTGGCACCAAGGAATAGAGCAAGATGTTGTAGTAGGGTGGCTTAGGTGTAACTGGATTTGAAGTAGCTGTGGAAGGGGGAAAAAGAAACAGCTCAGATATGCTCTAAAAACTCTACAATAAATATGTATTATAGCGATCAAATTTTATGAGAAAGATAAGTGAGAGGCAGGAGTAAATTATTCCATCAACAAGATTACACTTTGTTTTCAATCTATTAAGCAGGCTGCGTGATGCATTTAAAAAATGCATTTTCCTGTGAACTTACGCTGTGTGACTTCCATCTCCGGAAAATAAGAAAACCTTTCGTTACACATATTGCCCTCACAGCAACAAAAATATACTTCAGGGCTATCTTTTTTTTCTATACAATCAGTCCTGTAAACGAACAGAGGAGAAATAATTAAAATCAACATTATTATACTGATCTACAACAGATGTTTTTCAAAAGTTCCTCTCAGAGAAAAAATAGCAAGTCATTTATAGTCCATGTGAAGATTTTTACTAATATTCAATGATCAATTCTTAAAAACCACAACTGTTCCTGAAATCCTGTTACTAAATCTCATCAGAATAAAATCAACAACTGATTTTTAAATAGATTTTATTTATTTTTTAGAAAGAGGGGAAGGGAGGTAGAAAGAAAGGGAGAGAAACATCAATGTGTAGAATCATCAATGTGTTCCTCTCACACGTCCCCCACTGGGGACCTGGCCCAAAATCCAGGCACATGCCCTGACTGGGAATCCAACTGGCGACCTTTGGTTCGCAGGTCAGTGCTCAATCCCCTGAGCCACACCAGCCAGGGCAACAACTGATTTTATATAACAATCACATTGGCTGCTTGAGACTGTTGCTTTAACTTGGTTTTTAATGACCAAGGCAACCATTTTTTTGTGTGTAATTATTAGATAACTTAAAGAGAAACATAAGCCAATGAAGTAATTTGGTCTCAGTGTTTTTTCTCACAAGAAATACAGTGTTCCCATTTCAGGAATACGAAAGCTGGACACTACATGCAAAACTGTATGTGTGTACATATAAATACATATACAAGGGGGAACCCCCCATAAACCAGAATTTCCCCACTAGATGAGTGTTCTAGTGAATTTTTTTGAAGACTCTTTCGACACATTTGCCCATTTCATGATGGGTGACTTACAAGCACACCTGCTCACACCACAGAGTGTTCAGCAGTTTTTGACCCAAACTGGCATGACCCCCATTGTCCTACCCTCCTTGTTTACCTCATTTCACCCCAGGTAACTTGTTTTTGCTTCCCTGGATGAAAAAAGTCCAAAAGGGAAATGTTTTGCGATGTGGAAGGGGTGAAACAAAAAACAGCAGAAGCACTAAAAGGCATTAATATTGACAAGTTCAAAAACTGTTTTGGTCAGTGGAAAAAAATGTTTCTCAATAGGTGTACTGCAACAAATGGAGAGTACTTTGAAGGTGACTGAAGTTTAAACACATAAGAATAAATAGACAATTATTATAAATAAACTCCAGGTTTTAGGGGGTTCCCCTGCATATACACATAGACACATAAATACAAAATGATGCAAGTTCCTATCTCAAACAGGAAAATACCTCAGTATCAGAGACCCAAACTAGCCTTTGGGAATTAAGTGTCATTTTTAGTACCAGTAGATTTAAATCCCCTGAACACAATGGACAAGGTTAAGATAAGCAACAGGAACAATATGTATCTACAGATAGAACCTAGTTGACTCAAGAAGCAATTCAAGTCAAGTCTATCTGGGGGGAAGGAAGAGGCAGCCTTCTACACAGGACCTAAGTTGCTGAAAAAATGGGAATTTAGCATCTAGAACTAATCCTAATCAACCACTAAGAAACAGCTATACAGTAGTCCCCCTGCCCTTATCCCCAGAGGGATAATTTCTAAGACCCCAGTGGATGTCTGAAACCAAAGGATAGTACCAAACCCTATATATACTATGCTTTTTCCTATATATTCAGACCTGTGATAAAGTTTAATTTATAAGTTAGGTACTACATGAGATAACAACAATTAATAATGACATGGAACAAGTATAACAGTACTGTAGTGATTATACATGTAGAGTCTCCCTCTCTCTCTTTCTGCTATGTGATGTGATAATCAAGACTAAATGGCTAATGGGCAGGTGGCATAAACAACATGCATAGGCAGGACAAAGGGATGATTCTGGTCCCAAGTAAGACAGCATCAGATTCATCACGACACTCAGAACAACGCACAATTTACAACTGGTGGATTATTTCTAGAATCCTCCATTCAATATTTTTGCACGAAAAGAATAACACTCAATGCCCGTTGGTAACTGAAAACTACAGAAAGCAAAACTGCAGCCAAGGAGGGACTACTGTTCCTATTTTTAACTTTAAAAAAAATCAAACATTTAAATATTGCTAATACACATCAGATGGAATTAAAGACATATGTTACAAATAAATTGTGAACTTTAATAATGGTTGTGAGAATAATAAGATTGAATATAAAATTAAAAGCTCAAGATATTTTAGGGAGAATGCAGTTTTTTTTTTAAAAAAATCAAAATTTAAAATAAAATTTATACCAGTATCTACTTAGTAGAAAGTAAAAGACAAAGCTAAATTTTTAAACACTTTACAAAAATGTATATATAAATTTAAAATTTAATATTTAGAATCATGACTCAAATTACAGGAGGTTAATTAACCTAGCCTAATTACCTTTTGCAATCCAACTTCATTCTTATTACTCTTTTCCTCCACTCTTTGACATTTCTTGAGTCTTTTTTCCTTTCTCCTACCTCCCTTACTATCCTTAATATCTATTTTCTAATCAAATTCAGAGCATGAAAATGAAAATTCCCATACTTTCAAATTAGCATTTAATCGCCAGAAACAGAGCTGGTATAGTAAATATTGCTGTAAGAACAAGCATTTGCAATGAACAACCCACACTCCATTACTGAACAAAATTTAACCTCCAGCAATACTGGTTTTAGGTGAGAAGCACATTATCTTTTTACTACAAAAAGAATAAGAATCCCTGATTAGTTGATAGAATCCCTTTCAACTAATTAATGAAAGACAGTTTTGGATAAAAATGATTCCCAAATTTAATTTTCCCCCAGCTTCTTTTCACCTATCTTTAAAAAAAAATTGTTTTAAATAGGTTATATAGAGAGAAAGAGGACAGAGCGAAAAACACTGATTTTTTTGTTTAACTTATTTATGCATTCATTGGTTGATTCTTATATGTGCCCTGACCAGGGATCCAACTCACAACCCTGCCATATCAGGATGACACTCTAACCAACTGAGCTACCTGGCCAGGGCCTACCTAGTTTTATTTAAAAAATTGAGATATAATTGACATGTAACATTGCATATTATTCAGATATATACCATAATAGTATGATATTTGTATATACTGTGAAATGATCACCACAATAAATCTAGCTAACATCCATCACCACATAGCTAAATATTTTTTCCTTGTGATGAGAACTTTTAAAATCTAGTCTTTTAGCAACTTTCAAATATGCAATTCAGTATTAACTATAGTCACCATACTGTACATTACATTCCCAGGGCTAATTTGTTTTGTAACTGCAAACTTGCGCCTTTTCTTCCCCTTCACCTATTCCATACGCTCCTTACCCTCGGCCTCTGGCAACCACCAATGTTTGGTTCTCTGTATCTACGAGTTGTTTTTTTTAAACCACATATAATGACATTGTATGGTATGTTTTTCTCTGACTTATCTCACTTAGCATAATGCCATCAAGGTCTAGCCACACAGTTTCAAAGAGTAAGATGTCTTTCATTTGATGGTTGATTTATATACACACAATAGACTATTATATTTTTACATGTTATATATTAATATTAAAATGGATATACATAAATATGTATTTTAATATAAATATTTTATGTACACACACACATTTTCTTTATCCATTCATCCATTGATAGACAGGCTGCTTCCACATCTTGGCCACTGTAAATAATGCTGCAATGAACATGAAGATGCATATACAATGCCCAATACAAATAATGCCTTTTTAGTACAAAATCTTTTATTACAAAATAAGCGTGCAATTCTGTAACATAACAATATCACACTCAAGCACACTATATGACATTTTAGGTAAATGTTCAAATTAAAATGAAAAATTATTATATCCATATTATTACCCTACCAACCACTCTCAAGCAGGAATTACTTTTGGCCAACACTGTGTATCTTTTTGAGTTGGTGTTTTCATTTTCAGATAAATACTCAGAAGTGGAATTGCTGGATCATTTGGTAGTTGTATTTTTAATTTTTAAGGAATCTCTATACTGTTTTCTTAGTAGCCCAAGTTACCCTTCATTATAGCAAATAACAATGATCACTTCTGTTAATAGAGAGGCCAATAATTGAAAAGCATAAATATATAATTATAAAGAAACAATCCCTGGAAAATTCACGAATTTAGAAGTATACCCTAAATAATAAATATACACCTAAATGACTTTATTTCTCATAAAAAGCAGAGCTAATTCAATCTGTATGGTCTTATTCAATACATTTTTATATTAATCATATATAGCCAACCACCCATAGATTCATGGTAATCAAATGAGGAACCTGAAAGCAGATCAGGAATTATGTAGTATTTCATGATTATATGAGTTTTTTGGCTCCAAGAAGTCTGGTTACCTAGGATTTTGCAGCCTCTGTCAGTCATCATCACCTGCCTTCAATGAAAATCCTGTGGCCCTGGCAGTTTAAGTAGTCAGTGCAACATCTATGGGACTCCTTACAGAAAGATCACCTGTCCTCTGTATTTCGTTTCCAATAGAGAATAAAACAATTTAAGCGAGATCTTTTAAATAAAATGTAGCTTTCTATGAGGACTGTATTAGTTCTGATGTAATTCTGAACGTCAAGTTAAAATGTCTTGGGGTAAAGAACAAAGGACTACTTTGCAAGGAGAAAGAGTAAAAAATATAGTGAGATCAATTTCTTCCAGATACATAAAGAAGAAAACTAAAAGGAAATTAAATACTATAATTAAGCTTAGTCTCCTTGAGAGATTTCACCAGATATACTTTCTTTTAAAGCAATTTTAAAATGATTTTTCCTTGAAATTGGCATTTTAAGAATGTTTATAATCCTAAGAATATAAAGAAGAAAATATTTCTAGTCTATTGCGTTGCCCAAAATGTCCATATGGTTTTTTTTCTGTAAAATAAAAGACACATTTTTCATTTTCAACAAAAACTGTATTGATTGGGATATTTTTAGTATGTTGGCTATCTCCAGCTATTGGCTTCTACTGGGTAGAGGCCAAGGGTGTTGCTAAACATTTTGCAATGTATGAGACAGTCCCACAGCAAAGAATTATTTGGCAAAAATGTCAACAGTACCAAGAAACTTCACAAGTCTCTTGACACATGCAATCAGTCACAGCACCTTCTCCATATACTGCACAAACCTTTTTTTTTGCATTTCAGTTACGTTTTTACCTTTCTTGAAATAATAAAGCCTAATATGCCAAAAAGTTATGTGTTTTCTTCTATCTTCCAGCTATTAAAATAGCTACACAAAAAATTCACCAATTCTGATAAGTTTTTTTTAATGCAGGCTGATATGACAGCTGTCACAATACAATCTAACAAAATTATTTCAGATGAAGTTTAAGATGACTAAGCGCTACTAGAGCCATCTTATGGAAAAAACAAATGAACTTTCTGGCCAACCCAATATATTTCTCACTACTTGGTCAATTGTTCAAAGCATATCAAAGATAAAACATGAACATGTCATACTTATTTTAGTACTTTAAAATATATATATTGTCATTAAAACATGTAATAATGGTCTTCATAATCTCATATTTTTTAAGAAGCAGAGAAATAAAATGAAAATCCATCTATTGATCTTTCCCCTTTAAAAAGGGTAGTGGTGGTGAAAATTATTCAACATTATTATACAAAATGAAATGTTTCCTTACCTGTCATAGCAGTTGATATCATCCAGCCAACAGCCCTGTTTCACTATTTCAATGGAACCAGAAATATTCTTCCAGGTAGCAAAACAATGTCGCCGTTTATCTTTGTCACCATAACAGGGTTCAACACCAGTTCGATTGGTTTTATCTCTTTCCCAATTAGCATTATAGAAAATACACTCCTGAGTTTCAGATCTACCAAGTATAGCACCTATAATAAAACAAAAACTTAATATAACTACATTGCTATTAAAATAACAGATTTGTCTCTCACTATACTAACTTCAGATGTTCCAAATATGTCAATAATTTACTGTCTTCCTAGTGTTGCAACATTGGGGTTAGGTTTCCAGGTCAATCATTGCACTTTAAGTATAATAAAGATAATAATGGAAAGTGAGTACATATTATCACAAGATTTCTCTGGAAAAGACCAGTTTCACTTTACTAAAGAATGTCCTTGATACAAAACATAAAAGTTGTTAATTTTATTAAATCTTAACCTTAAGTAGACTTCAATATTCTGAGTGACAAAGTAGGAACTGAACAACAACAGCACTTCTGCTGCATAGGAAAAACGGCTGCCTCAAGAAAAAGCCCTTGCATGATGAAACTGCAAAATAAACCAACCATGGTTATTCCAACTTGGGTATGTGGCAGATATGGTCTCAAAAATGAACCAAGTAAACCTGTCACTTCAAGAAAAACAACTGACAGTATGCATAACCAGTAATAAAATATGAATTTTCAAACAAAATTTAAAATTTTAGGAAACTTGTATCCCCCACCATTAGCATGATGCCTTCCCAATACATAAACTCTCTGACAAGGTCAGTGATAATATTAACAAATGTTACATTTAAATATCGAATAATAAAATGTGACAATATTCACAAGGTCTATATAATTGAGAGAACCAATACTTTTCAAATGAATTAGGTGTCATGTTACAAAAGCTTTCAAGGGGAAAAATCTATTCAATGTTCAAGATAGCCCAATACAGTTTAATGTTATAGAGGACAAAAAGTTCATTAATGATTTTAGATTCTGCACTACATCTAATTTTAATTATTTGTTGTCTTATGTGGAAAAACAAGAGAACAGAAATACCCAAAATAATTCTGAAAAAGAGGTACAGAAGAGAAACCACATTATCTTTTTTGAAGACTTTCTATAAAACTTCAATAATCAGGACAGTGTGGTCTCAGTGAGAAGACAGACTCATGCACCAATGGGACAGAATAGAGAATCCAGAAATCCACACATCTATGGTCAACTGATACAGCAAAGATGCCAATAAACTCCAATAGAGAGAACACAGTCTTTTCCACACTGATACTGAACAATTAGACAACTATACGTGCAAAACAAAAGAAAAAACCACTCAACTCACAACTTACACCATATACAAAAATTAATTCTAACATATCATAGACCTAAATCAAACCTGAAACTATGAAAATTCTAGGAAAAAACAGATGGAAAATCTTTGGGACACCAAATTATAAATGATATCTTAGAAAACAAGACATATGAACTATTAAAAAATAACTGATAAATTGAACTCCATTAAAACTTCTCTTCAAAAGTTAAGGAATAAAGTTATAGACTGAGAGAAGATGTTTGTAAAGTATTATCTAAAAAAGAACTGATATTCAGAATATAGGAAGGCCTATCATAACTCAGTAAGAATACGTACTACCCAGTTTCTAAAAAATGGTAAAAGGTTCAAGTAGATGTTTTGCCAAAGAGATAGGAATGAAAAATACTACGTGAAAGGTACTCAATATCATTAATGATTAGGAAAATGCAAAGGCTAAATCTAATATTAATCAGAATAACAAAGAAAAACGGAAATCTCAAGTGTTGCTAAGTATGTAGAGCAACTGGATGGGTGGGAATGCAAAACGGTCCAGCCACTTTAGAAAAGTTTGGCATACCACCTAGAAATTGCATACCTAGGTATTTATTTACGTAAGAAATGAAAACGTGTCCATGAAAAAAAAATGCTGTCCATTTGAATCCCCTATATGTTTGAATGCCCTTTTGTAGGTCCTGAGAATGAGTATCTGAAAAGCACATTGGGGGGATATAAGTTTATATATACAAATATATCTTGGTATGTGTGTATTTTGGGAGGGGGGCAGCAAAGACCCACTGGTAATCTTATGTTCCTTCTTAGTTAAATTAAGTGGCACTGGCTTAGTAGACTATGACCAGAACTTGGAATTTAGTTCACAAACTGTGACCTTGCACCAGTTACCAAACCTTTTACATCTGATTCAATTTCCATACTAATTCCATAATTAATATTATAATACCATAGTTTCATAATTCATACTCAGCATAGTTACAGCAAATTAGTAAGTCTAGTAAAAAAATCCAGTACCAGACTTAACTTAGATATTGTTCTATTGACAAAGTACTCCCTATGCATTAATGAGTAGCACTGACCTTTTTTTTCCAAGGAGGGGGGAGGGAGGGAAGGGATGGATGAAAGAAAGGTAAAGCAATAAAAAGGATCTGAAATTTGGTAGACCACGTGAGTATAAAATAAGCCTACAAAAGTCATATTCAAATCTAAAATACTCCTCCTATGAGGAAAAAGTGTATTTCATCTAATGTAACTAGATCTCCAGACAATCAAAATTTTGTTTTTTAAAAGCAAAAAGTATTAAAATAATACACCGATACTAATTTTACACGGTCACTTCTAGAAACAGAAGAACTACTTCACAATTAATTTTATGAGGCCAGTATTACCTAGATAACTAAAAACAGATTGTACAAAAAAAGAAATACAGACTAATATCCCTCATTTACTTAGATATAAAAGTCACCAACAGAATTTTAGCAGACAGAATCCAACAATGTATTGTTTTTTTAAGTAATACACTATAACCAAGTGGAATTTATGCCAGGTATGCAAGGTTGGTACAATATTAAAAAAACAATAAATGCAAGTTGCCAAATCAGCTAAATTACAAGAGAAAAATCATACGGTCTATCAGTAGAGCGGGAATAGAACTGCCTCAAACTCACAAAGAGCATCTACAAAAAAAACTACAGCTAATATGACTAAACACTTTTCCTCCTAAGATCAGAAATAAGCAACCATGCCTACTCCCACTGCTATTATATAGCATAGTACTAAAAGTTCTAGCTATTGCAATAAGGCAAGAAGAAAATTAAGGGCATGCTGATTAAAAAAGAACATATAAAAGGTTTCTATTTGCAAATGGCATGACTATCTATCTAGAAAGTTCTAAAGAATCTTAAAACAAAATGATAGAACTAGTGAGTTCAGTAAGGCCATAGGATACAAGATCAACACATAGAACTTAATTGTATTTCTATCTACTGACAGAATGGACAAATGAAACTGAAATTAAAAATGAAATACAGATTACAGTTGCTCATAAAAAAATAAAATACTTAAATATAATCTAACAGAACATATCTAGGGTCCGTATAATGAAGATTATAAAATGCTGATGAAAGAAATCAAAGACGAATACTTGGAGAGACATACTGTGATCCTGGATTGAAGATGCAACATAATAAAGATGTCAATTTATTTAAATTAATGTATAGGTTAAATTCATATCAAAATCTCAGCAATTTCCTCTTAAACATAAATGAGCTTATTCTAAAATCCTTTTGAGAAAGCACAACGAAGTGGGAGAAATCACTCTTCCTGCTGTTAAGGCTTACCACGTAGCTGCAGTAAGCATTACAGTGTGGTCTGGCAGAAGGACAGACACAAGGTCAATGAAACAGAGACCCCAGAAATAGATCCACACAAATCTGCCCAATTAATTTTTGGCAAATAATCAAGAGCAATTCAATAGAGGAGAGTGCTTTTTCAATAAACGGTGCTATAGCAATGAGCAATGGTTTAAGAAGTATTTCATTGCTATCTACCACCATTCTAACAAGTTCCTAAAAGCCCAGCTCCCTACACAAAGCCTCCCAGGTTAAATCTCACATATGAGAATTTTCACATTTTCTCAACTATAACAAAATCCTACAAGTCTTTAATCAGGACTTCTCATTCCCCCCAAAACGCATACTACTTGCAATCTGGTATAAAATGTTTTATTTTATATTTATTCATTGTTTTTAATCACTTGTCTATACATGTCATTTTACAAGTCAGAATGCCACTGGGTCTAAGACTACCCATTTACTTGCTCTCCAAACACAAACAGTAGTTGATGAATAAAATGTAAAAACTCAACATAACAACTGATTACAAATTTTAAAAACCACCAACTACTATTGCTCCCCGCTCCTCTGAAAATGGCAGATAGAATTAAAGTGTATTTTACAATTACGAATTGCATTGATTTCTTTTCCAATTAAGACAAGAATGTTTTTCATAGCCCTGTGACTAGCTTTACCCTCACAATTTTCCTATGTATACAACCAACTTTAAACAGAAAGAATTTTATGTGACAACTTATGAACCTGAGTCCCACTTCCAAAAAAGTATTCTAATTCTGTATGAGCTGTCAACAAGTTATCGAAAATATGGTATAAAGAGGCAAATTAGTCTTCTAAAAAAGGTTAATGAAATTTCAAAAATAATAAATCCAACTTGAAACAACATTCTTATTTCTCTTTCACATGTCATCGCTTTCTTCCAGTTAGGGATAGAACACATGTCCAAAGAGAATTAGCTATGGAAGGAATCAAACTGAATGATATTTTAACCCCAAACATTTTTTGTACTACAAATAAAAAATAAGATAGTATCAAAAACAATATACAAAAGAATGATTTTAGATAAATTAAATAATTGGGAAATTCTGGTATAATACAATCCTTCATGGCACCAAGAAACCCTAAAACAAGTAAATATAAACAGCATTTTATTAGTCAACATTAAAGGATTCTCAATTTTCCCTCAATGAGATTTTCTAAAGATTTTTACCAACTTGAAATATACAAACCTTGTATATTTATATGAAACAGTCCAGTATGTACTTATTTGAATTCATTAATTTAGTTTTATAAATATTTAAAAATCATAAAGCACAAAAGTTTTACACAGCAATTTAGTCTGAAGCTTCACATACATCTTTCAACAAGTGTCATCTCATTACCTTCCTTTTGAGTCATCTAAAAGTCTCAAAATGTAAATAATGTTTACCTTTGTTTAAGTTCTTTAAGAAACAACACCTTTTGGAATCACACAGGCTACTGAAA